CCCCAAAACCCCAAAACCCCAAAACCCCAAAACCCCTTAAGTTATTTATTTTAAACATTAAAGAAAAAATTATTGTAATCTATAAATAAAATCAAAAATGAATAAGAAATTTCAATATTTCACCACGATTGGACTTATTCTTGCTTCATTCAGCTATGCTATGACAAATTATCTTAAAGTCTAATAAGAATCAGAAATACGTTAATCAAATGAATATTCTCAGTCAAGAGAGCTATAATTCTTCCCTACTCAGCAATTAGCTTGTCCAACATGCATCTCTAGATATAAACAAGCATCATATTGCTTAAAAGCTTAAACTATCGAGTACTGTTGCTCTCCTTTTGATAATTCTACTAATTGCAATACAAATTCAACTAATGGAGTAGTTTGCTCTCCAAGATAAGATATCTCAGGTGTATTCATAAACTCATATTGCAAAGGAGCATCTTCTCCTACTTCATGTGGAGTGGATAGTTTAGAGTTGATTGCTTCTGATTCCACAAAAACAGTTAATGTCAGTAGTCTACCCTTTTCTGTCAAAGTGCAAAATAGTCTCAGCTATTTAGCTTGCTATTATCATATAAAACCTCTTCAATACACTTGGAAAAATGGAGCTTAAATTAAAGTCAAAATTGAAAAGGCAGGAAACGTCTCTGCTTATCTTTTCGGAGGAACATCAAGAGATAATGCTTCTATTTCAATTATTGCTAATAATGCAACTGCTACAGTTAGTACTGAATATACAGTGGACGCAAGCACTGAGATCATTATCGTTGTAAATCCAAATCTTAATTAGGCAATTACAAGCTTTACCTTTTCTTTCTCAATATCAGGTTCTTAATATAGCTGGTGGGAAAAGTTGATTATGGGGCCTAATGGGCAAATTTACTTCTGGGTTGCTATCGGTTGTGGTGCTTTAATTGTCTTTGTTTTGCTAGCAGTGATAATTTTCTTGATTGTTAGATGCTGTAGAAAAAGTTCATAAGTAGGAAATGATGATGGTGAAAGAAATCACACAGATGGAAGTAATAAACAATTTGGGAAGTAACCGTCACTTAATGGTAAAAATAGAGGGAATCCAAGTAGTGGAGATGGTAAAATAACTTTGTTTATATTTATTTAGATGACTTTACTATTCGGTACCAAAACGAGAATACCACTTTTGACAATAAAGCTATAATAGGTCCAAGTTAAGGAAGGCCAGTTATTTAGAAATATGATGCAGCTCCTTTAGTTAATGGACCAGGTGGAACAAAAGAGGATGAGTACTACTCAAATCCTTTCTTACCTTAGAACATTTAGAAAAACAAGTAAAACAATATGGGTAACAAAAGTAACGATATGGGAAATAGAGGAAGAAGATGAGTAGAAATTTAAAACTGATATCAAGCTACTTTATTCTCACTGTTCACTCTCTACTTACCTTAGTAAAGAATGCATTATATATAAATATATATATCTGTCTTGTTAATTTAAATATACCTATTTAAATCAAGAATCAACAGTTATGGGGTTTTGGGGTTTTGGGGTTTTGGGG